GTCTCTGCCGACATTGACAGCATTCTAGCAGGATTAAGATCTCTTTGTAATAGTGATTACAATCCCAAATGTGTGGTGCCTGAGATAAGGACCAAATATTTATTCTAGCAGAGATTAGATCTTTTTTTCTCCCTGAATCTATTATGGATCTTGCAGAAAAATCTGCTCGAGACTGTATCTCTCCTCAGTCAACTCACTGAACCAGAACTGTACTTTGCCACTGTTGTAGCTGAAAAGCTGCAGGCGATTGGCTTAAAGGTCCTCTCTGTCCCCCTAAAAGTGTTCTCCCTTCATGATTAATTAGTGACTCAGAAACGAATTGAATCACCAGTAGTCCTTTCCAGGATTTATATAGAGGTTTCTCATTGAAAAACCAAGGGGCAATAAACAGTCCACAGCTGTGGGTGGGCAGAGGAATGACGGTGTCTGCAATCATGGTCCTTAACTCTTCCTGTTCTTTCATTCTGCTACACAGATAATGACTCAGGTTATAATAACCTTGATTATTTAGATTTAAGGATTATCAGGAAACAACACACACACACACACGTGCGTGCACGCACATTTATAAATGAATGTCAATCCTTTCAGTAAGGATCATAACATTTTAGAATCTCATTAGAATCAAAGAGAAAGAAGGAAATGAATCAGAATAATGTTAATTGTGGGTGTGAAAGGGGCATTGATATATTCTTTAGGTAGTCGCACTGTTATCCCAAAGATTATGCCTCACTGCCAGTTTGACTCATCAATGGCTTCACTCAAGAAAGGTGGGCAATCTTCTTCATTCTGTTTTTCAGCATCAAGAATGGAGGGTCAGTTAGGGGGTAGTGCTGAATTATTGACAATAACTACTAACTGTGGGCATGAGAGATGCAGAAAATCTTATCAGATTCATGTTTCCATGAATCCTATTTTAATACCAGATATTTTGTTAAGTGTTAAGATTTAGAGATGCAACATCAGAGAAATGGAGACTATAGCGATCACAGGCAATACACTTAAAAATGCGTGAATTCATGCATACACCATTTAAGAAGGTACCTCTCCCGGGGAACAGTAAGTGGTGGATAGAAATATGTATCGCACATTATCTAGCCACACAGAAAAGTCTGCTGTCTGCTGTATCTCGGCATTCCTTGATACTGCGGAGTCCCTTCAAAGATCAAGGTACTGGAAGGTAGATCTATTAGGAAGCACACGATACATTCAGATGCTAAAGGATAATTGTGAAGTTCAGAAAAATCTGGCTTTGGTAGATGTAAATATACAGGACTATATGAAAAACAAGTGCCTAAAATCTCACTGGAGATTGGTTCATTGATGTCATAGGTAAACAGACAGAGGTATAGCTGCCATCAAATTGTTGTTAGATGCCATTGAATCTGTTCTGTCTCAGTGACTCTGTATACAACACAACAAAATCCTTCCTGGTCTACAAAATATTCAAAACTGCTGCTAAATAGAAACTCAGTGCTATAATCTCTGCATTAATCAGTCTTGTTTACAATACACTCGGATTATGTGATCTTAAGTACAACATTTACATTGCTTGGACTCACAATCAACACTCATGGTAGCAGCAGTCAAGAAATAAAAAGACATTGTGTTAGGAAATTCTGCTTTAAAGATCTCTTTCAAATATGAAATGATGAGGATGTGCCAATTTGAAGACTATGGTCTTTTCAATTACTTCATATACATCTGAAAGTTGGATATTGAGGAAGGAAGACCAAAGAAGAATGTATGCCTTTGAACTGTGCTGTTTTGAAGAGTATTGGATACGTTGTTGGTTGCCTTCAAGTTGAGCATGACTCATAGCGACCCTACGAACAAAAGGCCTGAAGCCCCTCTACAACAACCAACATCTATCAAAGTTCATAGAGTTTCTGGAGGTATGTTGTTTAGGAAGTGGATGCCACTCCTGCTTCCAAATCTGTCACAGAATGTTACTGGTTGAGTCTCCTGCGATGCATAGTGACCCGATGTACAGCAGCTCTGAACCCTTCCCTGTCTAGAGCCAGTCTCACTATTCTGACACATAAAACCCCATCGCCCTGTGTCAATCCATCCCATCAGGGCCTCCCTCTCCTGCACTGTCCATCCACCCTTCTGATCATGATGTCCTTCTCCAAGGACCAATCTCTCCTGGCCACGTGCCCAAAATGAGGCAGAGCACTGCCAAAAGAACAATGCCTTGGAGGACATGAAATCAGGAGGCTCCTTAAAGACAAGGATGGTGAAACTTTGTCTCACATACTTTGGCTATGTTGTTAGGAGGAGCGAGTCCTTGGAAAAACATAGTGTGTTGGAAAGGTCAGAAGGTCAGAGAATGAGAAGACTGTCAGTGAGATGGATTGGCCCAGTGACTGTACACTGGACTCGGGATTGGTGGAGATTGTGAAGATGGTGCAGGATAGGGTAAGATTTAGATCTGTTGTTTGTAGATTTGCTATGAGTCATGATTAATTCAAGAGAACACTCGACAACAAATACAGTAGGAAAAACTACTGTCTGAGTCATCTTGACAGCTAGGAGGGTTTCCCACGCCCTTCTTGGCTCTCTACGTTTCCAAACACTGTTAGTATCTTCCACCAGTAATCCTTACCTCCTGGTATTGCATCTAAAGTAATTAATTTTAACACTGTTTTCTTATGAACTGTGAGGATTTCACTAGCTATATTTTGGAGGTAGATTATGAGGCCTTTCATTGAAGTTGGTCTGAAAGCTCTACTGAAAACTGTCTATTGGGGATTCATTTCTCTGCTGGTTCTTAAATAATGGTTGCATTACTTTCAGAAGCACAGTCACATACAAGGCACCACAATTTGACAAACTGGCAAACAGATAGTAGGATGTCAGTCATGGAAACTCAACAACTCACAGTGCTATTGAGTGAGTTCTAAGATTCTGAGGGTAGAAATCTTAATTGGAAGAGAGCACACTTTTTCCTCCCTTAAAGTGATGAGTGGATTGGAATTGTCACAGAGACAAGGGCTTTTGATTAACAATATTGTTTGTGCACTGTGGACTATGCCACCAGAATTCCTGTAGTCATGGTGTTGTTGTTGTTGTTGTGTGCCATGGAGTCAGAATCAGCCCTAACTGATCCTCTTGTGAGTTTTCAGAGGCAGTAAATTGCATGGGAGGAGATTTTCCACCTTTCTCCCAGGGAGCAGCTAGCTTGTGGATTTGAACCATGTGCCTTTAGGAATAAATGCAGCACAGCTCCTTACCACTAGGCCACTAGAGCTCCCTAGAAGGTACCTAATAATACCTGTATATCAAATGGGGGGAAAAGAAGGAGAATATAAGATGAATTACTAAATCTGAGATTCAGCAAATCTTTCCTAATGAGTTTTTTTTAGATTCTGGATTTTTCTCTTTCTCTTCTTTCTCATTGGTCTTTTTGTTTTTGTTTTTCTTCTTGGAAGTTGCTAGGAACAGAGGCTATGTGCATACATATTATGTTTATTGGACAATAAATAAGCAAGAACAGAGAAAAATTGATGCCTTTGAATTTGATATTGCAATAACTACAGACTATGTTATGAATTTTCAAAAGAACAACCAAGTCTGTCTTGGAAGATGGGTAACCCGAAGACTCATTAGAGGCTAAGATGGTGAAACTCTATCTCATATGCTTTGGGTATGTCATTAGGAATGGCCCGTCCCTAGAAAAGGATGTCATGGTTGGAAAAAGTAGAAAGGTCAACAGAAAGGAAAAAAGACCCTTGTGACAGACAAGGTAGAAAGAGGAAGGATGGCACAGGATCAAGCTGGGTTTCCTCCTCCTGTTGACGCTGAGTTACTCTGAGTTGGAGGTTACTCAACCATCCCTAATATCTACAATTTACAGAATATCAGAAACACAACTGCATGTTTTATCCTTGAATTCTTACCCTAGTGCCCAGGCAATAAGCTATGCAATTAGAGAAATTCTGGAAAAAATCTCTGCTGTTATTTCCTGCCCACCCACCATAATACTGCAGTGTGAAAAAGCTGTAGTAAGAGACTGATCAAGGCTGATTATATCTGATTAATAGTATTAATTTCATGTTATGTATGAATATTAATTTGGAGAATTCATGGTGACGAGTTGTGAGAGGAGAGCAGTGAGTGTTTTAGTAGGATTATTATCTGTGTTTCGGTGCTCACTGGTGAATCCCTGAAGAAAGATTATATCGCTTCCTGCCCCCCGCACTCCCACTGATCACCATAATATCCATCTTCATTGACACAGTGACTTTTCTGAAATTCATTCTGTTTCTGCTGTTCATGAGTCTTTGTGAGACACAGTAGTTCTTTGCCTTGCGACACAAAGCTACAGCAGTGAATTTTACATCCTCCTTTGGATTAAATTTAGAAGTAAATAGAGGAAGGGTAGATGGCATTTGATTTGAAAACTCCAGCTTGATGTTAATGGCTTACACTCAAGATGCCTCTTTGGTATGATTTCAACCTGTGAAAAGTTTAGAAAGGAGTTGGCCTAGAAGTCTAGCTCTTCTTCCGTTACCTCCTAATTAAGCTCTACCCATAAGCTTCTATCGAAATCTATCCTTGGCCTTGATTAATCCAAAGCCTGTAGGCAAACTCACACTTCCCCTTTCCTCTTAAATATGACTTGTGAGGAGATCTAGGGTTGAGTGTCTTATAAGCCTATACGAGAAAACATAATTCCTCTTGCAGAAAATAACTTCGCAGTGTCTCTGCCCAGTAGTTAAACAGCTCTGTAGTCCCAGCCTTGATATCTGTTGAGGGCAATCGAATGATGTAACCTGTGTAGTGCAGCCTGGGAGAGCAATTTGGATGGCTTTGTACCATTGGTTTTTATATTCAGGATAAAAGCCCTTGGAGAAATGTAGGACACTGTTAATAACTTCATGCCGACAGCTCCCTCTGGGCACCTAGAGGCTTATTTCTAGTTGCAGGATCAACTTTAAAAGGACAAAACCTTGTTGGTGGTGGTAACCATGCTCTTTTGTGTTTCTGTGTCATAGGAACAGGGGAAAATTGGAGTCGTCTTCAATATTGGCACAGTTGACATCTCTATCAAAGAGGAGAGAACCCCAGTCAATGATGGGAAGTACCATGTGGTGCGCTTCACCAGGAACGGTGGCAATGCTACGCTTCAGGTGGACAACTGGCCAGTGAACGAACATTATCCTACAGGTGCGTGTTTGATTCCCAATGACTGCAGTCTCACCCATTCCTCCATTCCCTTTTAAATGCAGATTGTTACCCAAATCACAAAGTATTGAATGTCACACACACACACACACACACACACACACACACACACACACGTTGGTATTTTTAGAGGAGAAATTATTTATTTAAGATCCAGTGTTGGGAACTTCTGGAGACTTGTTAACTACGCACAGACAGTTTTTGTCAGCCCAACTTATGCTGCCTGACTGGCTCATATGAAAATAAGGCATCATGGGCTTTCCAAGGTACTGCAGAATGACAGAGAGTGGCGAGAAAGGGCACTTACTCCATCCTAAGCTATTGTGAATAATCAAAGGCATACCTGGACTTCATGATGCCATTTAGTCGCACTCCGATTGAAGACACAGTTGGTCAGTGATAGAAAAGTGACTGTGAAGGGAGGTTCACTAAACTTGACTTGAACATCAAGTCACGGTAGTGAGAGATGACCTGGTAGAATTTCATTGTTTGGTTGACTTTGCCCATGCTCCTTCATCACCTATGCTAAAGCTGAAGTGATGCTCAGAAACGGGTCCTAATAGGCACTTTAATAGCAAGCAGCCTGGCATGGGAAGGAGAGAGGTTAATCAGCTATTTCAATTTTACAGTCAAGGAACATTCGCCAGCAAACTCCCAGAGCCAGATGGCCAAATCAAGGGCAATGGGAGAAAAGGTTATCTCCTCTAAAAAAGATCATTCAAATAGTCCCTTAGCTTTTCCTCTTATCTCTCATTTTTCCCAGGAAAAGAGTCCTGGACCATGTTAATGAGAATCTGGGTCTCACGAATGGAAAGAGCAAGCATTTTAGTAAAGATTTTTACTCCGCAATTGCATTGCAACCCAGTGGATGCAGAAAATAGAATTTTTCACTAATGTAAGCAGGATTCTGTATCCAATTCCTTGTCCCCTACACTCCAAAATTCCCACAATTTTCCCTCCCACATTGTAGTGACACGGGGCAGTGATGAGAAAGCATGTTTCGAGAAACTTAAGGAACAGTTAGTTAGCTTTTATTGTATTGTATTGTATTGTATTGTATTGTAATTGTATTGTATTGTATTGTATTGTATTGTATTTTTATTGTATTGTATACACCAAGTAAGTTCCCCATTAATCATCCATGATGTTTTAATGACTTGAAAATTTTTAAAACACTTGTTTTCATGCCTAATTCAGCATAACCTTTCCTTCAAAGTCAACCGTACGTGTCTGTGTTGTTGAGTTTTAGCCTAACAGTTGAACTCTCTCCCTACCTTTTCTTCTAGAATAGTGAAGTATCAACAAATAGCATACAAGACCTTCAATTTATTGAGGCCAAAACAATACCCACTCATTTATCCACCATCTCAATTTCCAGATAGCTCAGTCATTGTTTGCCACACTTATCTACCTTGTCAGCCTCTTAGAACTTTTTGGATTTGGGCACACAAATGTCCATAGGGAACTGCCATGAAAAAAACTAGAGCTGCCAGCAGCTGCTATGACTCTCTTTCCTCATTCATATTCACTAGTCACTGTTGTTATTATGTGCCGTCAAGTGACCTGGGACGCATAACAACCCTATGTACAACAGCCCTGAAATCTGCTCTATACTGAGCCAACTTGACTGTCTCTGACACACCTACCCTCATTACCCCAGTCACTGTATCAATCCATCTCATTGATGGTCTCTCCCTCTTTCTCCATCCCTCTACCCTTCCAAACATGATGTCCCTCTCCAAGGACCAGTCCTTCTTTGCAACTTGTCCAAAGTATGTCAGACAAACTCTCAGCATCCTTGCCTCCAAGGAGCAAGTTGGATTCACCTTCTCTAGGATGAATGTGTTTGTTCTTCTGGAAGTCCATGGTATATTCAATACTCTTCTCCAGCACCACAGCTCAAAGGCATCAATTCTCGTTCTGTCATCCCTAGTCATTGTCCAGCTCTCTGACTCATAGCAAGCAGTGACACTAAGAGATCTAATTCTTTTTTAAATTTTTTTCTAATAGTTTATTTTTAAAACTGGAATACAAATCCAAATAATTTCTTTCCATTTCTTTCATCCCCCATCAAATTGTAAAACCCAATGATTAATCCCCCTGCCCCCTGCACATCCACATCCCTCTGCTTCTAGACCCTCCTACTCCTCCTGGATCCTAATACTCATTCTACAATAATAGTTTTATACAATATTTATCCTATGGAACTGAGTTAATTAGTTCACTCAGCATAATGCTCTCTAGTCCTTCCCAAGTTAGGTAATAATTTACAAAGTTATTGCTCCTGCATGCTGCATAGTATTCCATTGTGTGAATGTACCATAATTTCTTAATCCATTCATTTGTGGTTGAACATTTGGGATGTTTCCATGTTCTTTTTTTTTTT